TCTCCATAAGATTTTGGGGAAACTTTTGTGTTAAGAGTTGACAAGAAGTTTGATTTAATTTTTTATTATTTTATATAGATATATAACTGTAATTTTTACTGCATTATTTTGATTTTGTTTTCCTAATCTCTGAGCTGTACAACGTTATGTTAGAAAAATTTGTTTGTGAGGGAAACCATTTACGTTATATATCATTTTTATTAAATAAGAAAATTTTATTTGATGATTTTCTTTTAAAATTGTATCATTCTTGAATTTTTATCTCATTACATACTGATAATGTCTTGAATGAACTTAAATACAAGATGTGAATTGAATGGGTACTTATATGAAGAAAGAAGCATTGCAATGCTTAGGACATGAGGTTATTTGGTGCTCTTATTTTTGGGACCTGATATTGCATCTGTCTTTACCAATTATATTTAATATAGTTTCTTTCTTGCTAATATTTTAAATAATTTAATAATATTTTTTTTACTGAAATCAAAAAATTTTCAATTTGAATTACATAACATAAAGTAAAATAATAAAAAGTGAAAAAATATCGTTTCTTATTATGCAACCAATATAAAAAATATATATAGTTACTTTCTTCTTTCCTTTAACCAATTGTAATTGGTTTTTTTTTTTTTTTTGGCTTCTCCGGCATTTAAGTTATGCAGCCATATGGCCAATAATATTGTTTCCCCAAAAATCCTCAGCTGGCCTTTACCATGTGAGTTGGATGTTAGGTGTGCCACTTGCTTTGTCTAAAAACAAGAAAATAGGATTTTCCAGACAATCTTCTCCTTTCCAGTGGTCGACCTCCAATGGGATGGCTGGAAAGAACGTCTGTGAAATCAATTGCGCCCCCAGACATGTTGCAAAACAGAGGGTAGAGCTCTGCAAAATGGGTTACTAATTGCCTTGGAAACCTCCAAGGACTTCACAACCATACAAGTGTAATAAAAGCTACAAATCCTAAAATAAATGCAATATCCTAAAGCAATTAAACTAATATAAAGAAAAGAACAGAAAATAACATGCCATGAAAATTAAATTCGCAGACAACAGAAAAAGTAAAATAACAGACAATGATTTCAACTACGCAGCCCATAATGATAACTAAAACTAAAGAAGAAACTATGAAATGATTAAAGTCTGAAAACTTATAAAATCAAATCTGGAAATTGAAATTAAATAAACTGAATGTCTGGATATTGTGCAGAAACAAAAGAACAAAGGTAGAAAACATTCAACCTATTTACATGAACGAATAACATAATTAAATCCATAAAAAGAAGAAGAACTAACCGAATCAAAAGGGCAGACTTGTTTTGAAGGCTAAATTGCTTCCAAATGCTTAAAAATAAATCTAAACTGAAATTTGTGGAAGGAAATATGAACAAAGATGAACAAACCTAGGCTAAGGCTATGAACTAATCTGGAAAATCTGGGAAATTTGGAAACTATTGCTGAAATCTGGAAAATGCAGTCTGAAAGCTGAAAAACATGCTCTGGGCAGTCTGTGTGTGTGTTGGGCCGGCCTCTAACTGTTCTCTTATCTCTGTTTTTGTTCCCTTCGATGCTGGTAACCTCCTCCATGATCTTCTCCATGATCTTCGGTACTGTTCCTCCATTTTTGGCACTGTTCCTCCATGATCTGGTAATGGGATTGCAGGTCTGGCAGTTATTTAATAGTTATCTGATTTTTATTTAACCTTATCTCCAACAACTTTAAAGATAACTACCTAAAAATCCTCAATTTCCCATTTTAAATCAAACTCAAACTACCAGATCCAATCTTATCTTCTGCCACCTAAGATCCAACCTCCTTGGAAATCCGTCTGGGTCATTAAATTGTAAACCAGCCCAACCCAAATCCAGCCCATTGATTTTCTTAATAATTGGGCTTTACCTTGACACGTGGCCTTACCCTATTGGTTTATTTTAGGTGTAAACAAATATACTGAGATATTGCACTAGTTTGGTGATACAGAGGTTGTGGGTTTTCCCATTCACAATGTTCTTCTAGCGAGGAAAGCATAAGGCCCTGCTGCTGGCTCATGGGTTGGCCAATATGTTATGGGTCGCTCATGAGAGGTTCTTTCTTGCTGTAAGAGGGAAGCGGCCAATCTTGAACTGCAATCGCTTCGAATAGCTGTTTATGTTGTTTTTGACGATGAAGATGAGGAATGAGGTAGGGAGTTCGGTGCTCTAGATTGTAGTTTACTAAACAATGTGCTTTCAGTGTTATTTTGTTGATTTCTTTTTAATTTTTTTTTCAATTATTCTTGACATTTGTTAGAAATTGGCTTTCCCTTAGTTTGAATGCAAGTTTTGAAGCTGTATACGAACTGAGATTGATCTGCTATCTATCCTACTGTTGTGTATCTACTTTATTCTTTTTTACAATTCTATTCATGTAGAGATTAAGTTTAGAGCAGGTTCTGTTATGATTGTTTTTTGTTCAAGGTTGGTTTCTATGCCTTTTTATGTTGGAGTGGTTTTAGTAAGACATTTAGATACTTATCTATTCAATTTTATTTGTTTTTAGGTGGATCTCATGTAATTTTTACTGATTTAAAATGAATCTAATTATTTATGCCTGTATATGTGTAAGAAATTAGTTAATATGAGTGAGTAAAATTAAAAATCAAGGCAAGATGATGAAAGAAGTAATTGAATGAAAGAATTAGAGAGAAGGAAACCAAGATTTGTCCAGTTTCTTTCTTGGTTTATTTCTTAATGAT